CCTTTACCAGATTCAAATGGATACTCTTATCTCTTAACCTGCGCTGACTGTTTCACTCGACGGCCAGAAGCAGTATCTATCAAGGACATCGCTGCTGAAACAGTGGCCCGCGCCTTCGTCAAACGATGGGTAGCAAACTTCGGCTGTCCTTCAGTCATCACTACAGACCGCGGACGTCAGTTTGAATCTGAACCTTTCCGTTGTCTGACCACACTTTTAGGAATCACTCGTTTCCGAACGACTGCCTACGACCCACAAGCAAACGAGTTGGTAGAACGTTTTCATCTACAACTAAAAGCTTTACTATCAGCTGCAATTGTTTCACAGTGGACTGAAGCTCTTCCACTCGTCTTACTAGGTATTCGCAATGCAGTGAAAGCTGACAGTGAATGCTCTGCGGCTCAACTCGTTTATGGAACGACACTTCGACTTCCAGGAGAATTCATGGATCCTTCGTCCACTTAAATGAACATGAATCTAACCTCCTACACGAACAGGCTTATAAACGCAATGCGTTCAGTTAAACCTGTTTCCACTCGACCGCAATCAATTGATGTTTTCGTTCAACCTGACTTACGATATAGTACACACGTCTTCGTTCGCCGAGACTCACATCGCCGACCTTTCGAATCAGCATACAAAGGACCTTCCAGAGTTCTTCAACGCGAACCTAAGTGCTATATAATCGATAAGCACGAAACCAACGATAGGATCAGCATCGATTGCATCAAAGCAGCGTATTTAGAAGGAAATCCTATCCACGTCGATTTTCCCTCGGTACAATCGAACGACACGACACCGACACTTACGAAACCTCATCCGACAACCAACACGAACGATGATGCTTCGAAATTATCTGAAAATAAATTTAAAACAACGCATTTTGGAAGAAGAGTAAGATTTCCAGGACATTTAAATGACTATTGCACGTAATACACTGGTTAACATTTTGTTTCATCTTGATTTTTCATGGCGTTACATAATATAAAAAAATCAACTTTTATATGCTTAAATTTACATATATTTATCATTTGACTAACATGAATATTAAAAATTTTTTTAAAAAAAACAAGAAAATTCCATAAAAATTGCTTTTACGCCATCACATGTACATGAGTTCTTTTTTCGCCCATTTTGTGTCTTAAAGCGCGTACGAGTTTATTTCGACATGCACTTACATATCCTTTTTTTCTTTTCCAGGACGGCTGGAAAAGACGATGAAAAGTGATAAGTCTTGTCGATTGAACGCTATATTTAGTTTTCCTAAGCTATTCTGGTAACCCACAGGCTAGAACTACACAGCGACTTGAACACCAGAGAGAAGACGCTAGTATGAGAGAGAATACTTTACTCCAAGGTTCATTTCTGTACAGAAAATCATGGGTATTTATAGATGTTAGCGTCTGTTAAATCAACATTATATTTCAGCCAATCCGTTAACGACATATTATGTTATCGACCAATAGTAGCACGCCATGTTGGAATTCTAGAATGTTCCATCGTACTCTGGCTAGGACTCTTCGGCTCCGTTGAAGTTCTCCGGAAGCCGACTAAACAAAAAGAAAGGTGAGGTTTACGAGAAACCAAAAATTTTCGCAGTACATCATTTTTTTACTATATTGTATTACATGGGCCCTCATAGTAGGGAAAGACGACCACACGCTGGTAAACCTAACAAGCTATCAGAAGAGTGTCTACCAACGACAAAACTCGTTGGGTTTAAACTTCCGGCTGGCCACGTCTTAGGGTCATCACTTCTCCACTAGTGGGGGAGTGATCTGTAGCGGTAACTAAATCCCCAAAATAAATAGCTCTGTAAGTCTTCGACATTGGATGCTGACCATAATACTTCCATTAATTTACGAGAACCTTCGCTGCATAAGTCAGTACCTATCAGCACTTGGTAGCTAAGTGGACAACGCGTTTATTGTTTAAATCGAAAGGCAATCGGTTCGAGTCCGGACGTCAACATCGTTACAAGTACATCCAAGTAACGAGTTGCAAATAGGACGGAACGTGTATATTTGATTCCACTACTACTCACTATCCAACTTACATAAAATTCTTTTTGTTGTTGAACCAATCAAAAAACAACTTTTTTCTCATTGTAATTTTATACTGCATAAGAATGTATATAAGCAGTAGTATTTTTCCTAAACATTGAATTTTTCGCAGTCACAGATCAAACTTTGCCTTCTGATACCACGTTACTCTGTGAGATAAAAGGCTCTGAAGGTATCAACACGTATGTTGTTGATTTTTGTATCATCAGTGCAAATCCGTTCCAATAATCATGTTATTCCCTCGATCATATCATAAGTTGTTATTCGTTTTTTGTTAATAATTTTAAGTTGAAGTTAGACATTAACACCGTTGGATCCCGGCTCAGTGGTCTAGTTGGTTAAGCGCCTGGCACGAAACTGATAGATCCTGGGTTCGAATCTCGTGGGGTGCGGGATCGTGTGTGCGCATCGCTGGGGAGTCCCACACTAGGACGAAACGGCCGTCCAGTGCTTCCAGGTTTTCCATGGAGGTCAATAGACTCATGATTTCAATCTGTGAAATTTCTAAAATTTCCACAAACCCCTTCCGATAATAATTTTAAGGTCAGATTAACATTGATGGTAGAAATAATAGGCTTGTAAAGTATGAATGAGTGGAAACTAAATGTCTGGCGTTTCGTGACTAAGTACGATGCGTTTCTTCAGGGAAGAAAAATAATTGATAAGCTGAATCAATACGAGTTTAAGCAGTACGAAGGACAAAATGAAGGATATTTTTAATACAATTATGATGTGTGCTACTGATGTCGACAGAGATAAGTAGTATATATCACTAATCGAAACTGAAATGCCTGGCAATAGTTGTAAACTACGAAGTAGTAGTGATAGCTGAGTTGTGCAACAAAACCGGCATTTTTTCGAGCAGAAGTACTGTTTGAAAGAACAAAGTTGATGAAAATACAGGTGAGGATGGCTAAACATATTTGAATATAAAATTATAGAATCTCTTAGTAAAATCTGCGAATCATATAGTAAATACTTCATTTGCAAAATGTCATTTAATTGTCTCAGACTTGATTGTTCCTTCATTTCCACACCAATCAATCTCTATTCTTGTTCTCTTCTCTTTGATCTTCTTAACCGTCTACCGCCAGACACTTCACTTTTAATTGATGATATATGCTACTTAAATCTGTCGACATCAGTAGCACACACCACACATCATCTCAATCTTCAGATCAGTTAAGTATGTTAATGATTCTGATAATAAGGACCTAATGGAAATATTTTACCATTCCCATAATATATTACTATAATGCAATAATCCGACCATTGACCGAAATTAAGCTACCAGCGAAAAGGATACTAAATCGATGCAGTATATACCGACAGGAGCACGTTATACAAGATACCTGATTCGTGACCAACAATGAAGGACGGCAGTATGGGCTAGAAAATTACCTTATTCTGTCAGGGAAGTTCTACCTATTGCCTTCTTGAGACGACGGTGTTGTTTAGGAAATTAAGAGGACGAAAAGCGAATATCCGGTACTCTGACCGGATCGGTGGATCCCTCTAGGGGAGTTAGAAAACCATTATTCCAAGTCATTGGTGCACATGGGTTCCAGGATCCTAAAGAAACAAATGGCATATGAACCTATTGTTAGTCACCGACTACCATGGGATTGCATCTCCCAAAGCTGCGCTAGTGTCTTGTGTATTGAACTTCTAGGTCAAAGATCTATATTAGCTCTACAACACGCATCCACACTGTTATATAAATGTTAGACTGAAGGGAATAAATGAAGATGTAAATCATTAAAAGCTATACCCTGGGAAGTCAATATACACAACCTTAAAGTATATTTAATAAATAACTGGTTTATGAGATTTTCATTTTTCCCCAATCGTAAGATTCTGTTGCCTTCAATAATTGTTTTTATATCTTTTACCGTTCGTGAATTCCTGTAACTTGACAACAAACCTGTTATTCGCATTATTCACTACAAATATCTTAGTTATGTACACGGTGAGATGTATAACTTACGTTGCTGTAGTCTTGTATTTTACGAATATGCCTCACGTAAAGTAATAAATCTGAGTGACACACTATAGTGAAGCATTTGGTTGGTTTTCCTAATACAGATTGTTAATAGCTTATAATTCTATTTGACCAAATTCAGTCAGTCAGCAACAATGTAGAACTTCGCATGTACGTACATAATTTCGAGTTGCCATATCACATTAACACAAAGATACAATTGTCGATCCAAATCCCATAATGGTCGAGGTAGTAAGAGTATAATCAGTAATCAGAAAGATTAGGGTTTGAAGATGTCATTCAAGGAGTATAATCCAGTGAAAAAAATTTGGAAAGAGAAAAAGGAAAGGGACATGAAGAATTCAGAAGATTAGAATTTCGGTAAACACAAAGTGTGGATGCACCTGCACCATTGTAAACAATTTTCAGCCATGCCATTCAAGGTCTCTAACCATCGGTTGCTATCATCTCGCGGTTCCCAACCAGGTAGTCTACATCGACCAACATGGCTCAGTCCACTTGTCAATGTCTTCATGGATTTGTGCCATGTTTTGGTCTGGCCACCCCTAACTTTCTTCCAACCTACTCCTACACCATGAAACACCGCTCGTTGGGGCAGTCGGTGGTTGGGCATACGTAACACGTGTCCCAGCCATCTCAAGTGATGAAGATTCACTACTTCATCAGTCGATTCGCCATCCTTAACTAGTACCCGTTTCCTAACCACTGCATTACTTACTCGGTAGTCACAAGATATACGAGCAATGCTTCGAAGACACCTATGTTCGAATACTAGTAACCTACGAATATCCTCTACTCTTACCGGTCATGTTTCACCGATCATTGATCAAATTATCGATAACGTAGACAATAACTGGGCTAACGGACTCATTAGAAATGGGTGTAGAAAAATACACAACAGAAAGTTTTGCAGTTAAATACAAAATCGTTACAAGAAAATTATTAGAATTTAATTAACAATAATTTCCTAATTTACAGTTTTTCTATATATTTGTTGATTTGACTTATTTACCAAATATCGTCTTATATGCACCGCTTCAAGTCATGACGTACCATTTGCGTTCTATAATAGAATTACACAAAATAGAGTTCGAACCTGAGACTAAAGTCTTCTAATTACAAAGTCATTTCTTAAAAAAGATGAAGATAGTTTTAAATTTTAAAAAGCTTTCATGATGTTCTTGGTAAAGAAAAAGGAAAGTGGTAAGGACTAGTCAAATTCGCTACTAAGAAGTGATTAATTTTAAAGGGCAGTTTTATAGGTAACCAAATGCGATTCCAGATGAATTGAATCAGTAATGAAAGTGTTGGTGGCAACTGACAGATCGTTATTTAATTACCCATACTAATGCTCTGAATTTTATTGAAGTGGGACTAATTTTAAACCTTAACAACAAGATACAAACTCTTATAAATAAAATTCATCTCGGTTGCACAAGCCAGTGGCTATGTGGACCTAGTAACTCAACAGATAACGTATTAGCGTTCATGGTAAAAAACAACGGGTACGAGTCGTAGCGTGAATGTCAACAATAGGAATGTAAGTACATGTGGTGTTTGCATGAACTAATAATTCATTTGTACTTGATGACTGCTTGATTTCGAATTCCAAATACGATACGTTCGTTCCTGGTCATCTAATACTTCTTAATTAAACTGCATTATTTCTGGAATTCCTAATTTTTACAATAATCCAAATACTCCTAATTATTACAGTACAACTAGCCGATTATCCCTGGATGGAATGGAACATGCATCCTGAACCCCACTGCTAATCATTACCCGAACGTTTTTTTAAAAAAATGATTTGTGACTTAATGGCAATACTGACGGAACACATTTAAGATAAACATATGTCAAAGGAGACTGGTCATTTGCAATAGTTAGCGTCAATAAGGGAATATACAAACCTTTGTAAATATCATTCTCAATATTCATGAAGATAAGTATTTGAAAGTCATTATAAATTATGATCGTGAAAATGCTACAGAAAAATGGCAGGTTAGCAATTATCAGATTAATAAGTATCAAAGAAGTTGAACTAATGCCTGTGATAACAGGGATAACTATCAAATTCACTTCAACACTATGATATTATTGTACCCTTTCCTCGTAACCGCAGTTACTCCAGATGACAAGTCTTGTAAAAAATACTCATTTAACAGAGACATCAAAAATATTAATTCACATTGGAATTCATCCCAATACATTAGGATTATATTCAGTGACTGTTAGTAACTGAATTGCTACACAAAATTAATATCAAGTAACATTATAGTGAGCAAAATTCAAATGAACAAATAATAACACTAAAATGCTTGATACAATGAAAGTAAATTGAATGAGCTGTGGCCTTACAATTGATTTCTTTATAAAACATATTTTAGGATAAAATGTTCCTTACATTAACAATGATTATGAAGAATAAACATTAACAGCTCAGTTCTAGAAAACAATGAAAATGCATATACTAGATAACAGAACTCAGGATCCAAGGGAAGATAAATAATAAACGGATCTATACCATTTTAAGCTATGTTATCAGATGGTCTGCCTACACTAGTATGGCTTAGACCAACACTTAGAGATCTTATCGATCAACGTCAAGTTTTTGTTCGGTTGCGCATACCTTTGGTTTTACCTAATCTAGTCAGTATCGCATGTCGAGGCAAATAGTGGTTGGATGTGTGTAGCAAATATCCCAGTCACCTCACTTAAAGAAAATCCACTACCTCATAAACTGATTTGATTTTCCTACTTAGCAACCTGTATTCGACTTGAACACTGCTTATCTACTCGTTCCATAGAACGCGAACGCTTTTAAAAAATATATGTCCACAAACCTGGAGCCTGAGAATGTATTACATACACAGGCCATGTTGTACAGAGTAATACATAGTGCCCATTCAAAGAATCATAGCATAGTTAATGATGATAAGAAAACCTCATGATATCAGAATCTCCACTAAATAGGACTGTTATCTGCGTATAATAAGAGGTGGACCCAGTAAATCATCCTCTGGAAAGTTACAAATCCAACCTCTAAATTGGAATTCAGATATTGGCATATTCCCGCTTCTATAGCACTGATAATCCTTAATACAGAAAATAGTTGACATGTGCTAATATTCCCTACCTAGTCATTCACTTCGTTGCATAAGCACACTAATTAGCATTTAATGTAACGAATCTTGTATGAATGGAAGCTTGGCGGGCTTGATAGACTTTAAAGAGAACCCTGATTCCCTGTTGTTCTGTAACTGTACGGTGCAAATTGGTTCTGACCATCAGACCAATCATACCCGATGGACTTAAGAGGTTGGAGACGCTTAGATAGATGGTCCAATAGGTTGACTGTCAAAACGATTTTTGCACTTATAGTCTGGGAGTTTTTACGTTGACAGCATCCTGGAAATAATGGCCTGCGTCATTTTATCATGTAGGAATGTAGCGCATCATAAGTCTCACCAATATTAGTTGTAAAATTAGATACTCCCCACATGGTCAATTAGACAAATGAAACAAAACCAGGATAAAACTGGAATGCATCAAAATTAATTATGCTCACCAATAAGTGTTTATGAGTAACCAGAATCCCTCTACTTAAATCCAAGTAATGGTTATCACTGTGAATCCCAAGTTTGTCATATGAAAGCATTCGAACACAAGTGCAACCTAGAGGAGTAGGAAAGTTTGCAAGTAACTCATTGTTAATGATTTAGTCGAAAACTGGGTGTTTAACAAATGAGCATTAGATGGTCAAACACACCACATAATGTCTAGGATTTCATATTTAAAATGACCGTTCCTTTCCTCAAATTATTGCAGTTATTGGTTAGAATCACTAAGAAAGTTTAAAGCCTACAGCGAGTGTGGAAGTTAATTTGGACAAGGCAGAGAATAATGACAGATATTAACTGAGTAGCCACAAGAAGATTTGACTAAGATTATTTACAGACCTACGTATAGATTGGAATTATGGTTAAAAAATTTCCAGATAGGTTAACATATAATAATGCACCTGCTTGAGAAAAACAAACTATCTATAGCCAACTTACATGTACATGTACATGAAAGTATGTCAAAACGATTACTACTATACTGGATTGAAAGGAAACTGAAGGTATTTGTATGCGTAAGAAGTTGAACATTAGCCAGTAATATCGATTGCAGACTGTGTAACTTGACCCAATGAATAAAAAAATGAACTATTTTAGACGACAAACTTTATTTGAAAGTCAAACAGTACAAGATTTCTACGCTGAAATTTTAGCAACGGATTCTGGTTTTAAAGGCTTTTTCTTTTTGTTTTGAATCTTAATAGGTTGGGAAAGCAGTTCCTAGAAAGGTTATTAGGAATAAGCAAGTTGCATACCTTGATTTCTGGGTCTTTGACTTTGTGTTCGGATTTGTACAGAGAAGGATCGAAAGTCAACCCAGTGACTTTCATTGGACCATTAGGCATGAGTAAAACGGTAAACCTGAATTGAGCAACAAATTCGTCTAGAACATAGAACAGAAACTAATAGAAATACCATCTTTTTCACAAACAACTGGAAGTGGTTCAATGACCCCATGTTTTATACACTCACAAATACCTAGTCGAGCTCTTTTGACATCATCAAAGGCACTAAAACGTATAATGATCATTAAATATTTCAAATACCGTAAACTAAATGGGTATGCCAGGAATCTGTTTGTAATTTCACTATATAATTCTAAAGTTACAGTTCGTAAATAATAATACACTAACGACGTGCGGCTTTCATTTTTAATTGGTATAAAGTTTCATTTTTCTTAAACAAAGTTGTCCGCGCTCTATGTTCCCGTGGTCTGCCATCACCCGTCGATACAATAATATCCACATTCCATACGTCATTTATGTCGAAAGTACACTTTTCAACTGTCTTTTTCTGCTCTTCCGTAGGACTGAAAACAATGTTTTTTTCTGCGTCATATACAAGCTTTTTCATTTGATGGCATTGCATGCCTAATGAAAAGAATGATTTCACAGTGGGTCTTACCTTCCACGGCGTGACAGTTAAAATCTGTAACAGTTTTACTTACAATTTCTGAAGCCTTTAGATTCTGAAAGACGACACATCATACAATTTAGGTTTCAAACCTCCACTCCCGGTTTTAATAGCCGAATGACAGCTTCTGCTGCTGCATGTGCGGCCAGTATAACATCAGCTTTTCGGCCAGTGATTTTGTTGTCCTGCCAAGTGTGCAAAGTAGTATTAATTCATTACCTGGCTTGCACCAACAACAAAAGTGTGTCCGACTATAGCAGCATAACCATCTATATGGGCACCAACATCACTGAAAAAATATTTGAGAGTAGGTATAAATTACATTTTGACAAGGTCTCCAGTTTTTATTTCTATAGGACCAAATGCTTCATTTTCAATAGGAGAGTAGTGACGTATCATATTGTTCACGCTGATTGCAGTGGGAAAGGCAATACCTTACAGATAAGGTAATTTGTCAAAATGATACCTTTTCTCATCTCTTTCTCTTTTTTAAATAGCTGAGATACTTTGTCACAGATTTTTCTATCACCTAATTCACACAACTCAACGATGTTAGCGCCGTCAACACAAAGACCAATCAACTCGAGTAAAACCGCTGAGACAACCACATCAAGGGGAAATATTCTCATGACTTACCATTTGTAACCTCAGCAGACATTTTATACTTATTAACGACAGTGTCATCGAGTACATCTTGTTCTGTGTCACTGTCCTGATCTGACATGCTCATTATGCAGATTTAAGGTGAATTTAAAAGCCACCAATAAGGTTATTGGTTTCATATGATGATTAAAACAAATTGTCGTAGCAGACGTGAAAAGTAGTCAAAGTTATTACTTCCATTGTTTTTACAGTTTTTTACAAAAATGAATCCCGTTTGAAAGTCAGAAATAACAACCGGGCATCTTGGTTAATTATATTACTTTGATTCGAAATTGTCTTAAAATATTATTTATTTCGTTCCCAACGTAAAAATTATAATTTCTTTCCTCAAATACCAATTTAAAATTTGTAACAGTATAGCTTTATTTATGAAGGAGTAACGATTATGTGGTATATAACATTCTACTGATCAAGGATTCTTCTTACGAAATGTGATTGAGTTCTAGCCAGATCATCCGGCAGCTGAGCTACTGAATATCGGACAGTTCACTGATCTTCCTTAGGATCACGGACAACCAACGCGCGTCAGTTAATCTGACGGCATCGTTTGCACCATGGTGGTCAAACGTTCACTCATACCTACTCTTACTAATATATTTATGCGATAACGTCCTCTCTTTTGTACGGTTGTCAAAGCATTCATGGTGCATTGATAAGATGAAGAAGTTATCCAAGTTAGGTACTGACCTCGATGTGTGACTTGAAAGTTAGCCGTTTATCACACCATCCCCATCTAACTAGAGTAGGCTCCCAGTCATTCAACGTAGATCATCTACGTTAGTGATCTACGTTGGTGATCAAGACTTCGAATATCTCAGACTAACATTATAATCTCTATTATTGCATTGTTTTTCATCTTTATCGTGGCCTAAGTTCACCAGTTACTGTAAAAATTCGCTGCTTTATATCAATGTTGATTAGTATTTAAACTTGACTGATTACTTCAATCGATAGAACTAACCAATCAACTACGGTTATAATCGGCTTTCGCTGTTTTTTAACATCGTGAGCAGCATGTAAATGCTCTTGTGTAATATGTCTGTTAAAATATGAACCACTCGTGAGTATAGCCACAAGGCATCACGAACCCTCATTTGTTTGTAACTGATCCACTTGTATAAACAAGACAAGATCAACTACTCATTTTAAATCCATCTGTAGCGATAAAATATCCCCAGACTTAGTAGCTCTGTGAGTCAACAACATCGGATGCTGACTGCATTAGTTTCAATGTACTCACCTATCTGAAGGCGTTCACTCATGCATCCGCACTAGGTCACGAGTGGGTACACCATCCTTCACATCTATGACCGCTACCCAGATTAGATTGATCAGCCGATGTACCGATTCGAAATCTGTCTAGTTCAATTAGTGGTCTGATGACATAATGATTCATGCGAATAATCAGTTTATGAAGTCGATCGAATCCCTTGCAAAGTGAAAGTGGCATTGTCGCCTCTATCCAACATTGACAGTGTTTTTCACCAATATAACACATGAGCCCAGAGTAACACTTTTGGTTTCTTTTGTCGTTTTCAATATTTTTTGGTTCACTTATCGAACAAACATGCAGCACTCACCTCTTATGAGCTTTTAGAGACTTCATCATGCCTTCTGCGCTCTTGATCTGTAGTCTTCAACCCTTACTAATTTTCACAGAAGTCATCGGCTTTTCAAACTCTGACTACAAATTGATCAATAGCTTTGCACAACGAAATCACGATTTCTGTCCACGGTCATACTTCTGTGCTTACAGTTAGTTTGTTAAATATAGATATAACTAGAATTGCGCACTTACGAATAGAAGCTGTCAACGACACTGTCTGATTTTTGTGCTTTTAATAAATGACTGCAAATATGGACATCGAATGATAATACACTTACCGTACTTGCACTAGAATATCATCCGTGCTACGGCAAAATGAACGTTGGTTATCTGAGAACATAAGTCACTTGTGAAAGTTATATATTTCAACGCGAATTGATAGGGCTTCAAAACGCTGTGCTTCTCTCATATTTCTATGGTTAATAGCTCTGCACTGATTTATTATTACTCGTTATTTCCGGTCATTTCCCACCACTTTATTTTCATACTGATCGTTTGGCGAGCTTCAGTGAACAACTGCTTCCATCATCTTTGAACCAACTCAAACGGTCGTTGAATCTGGTAGGGGAGTCTCGAAGGGCCAGTGAAATGAAGCTGAGTTTTAACCAAATCATTCGGCAGTTGGGTCATTGAATGTCTAACAGTTCGCTGATCCTCGTCAGGGTCAAGAACAACCAACGCACATCATCTAATCTCACGCCATGGATTGGCGGGATGGTCAAGGAGTCAGGCTTAGGGTTCTTGCACACGTGTTACATGTTGTCGAGGATTGTGAACGACATAATTTACTAACAGTATTTCTTCGTCACACGTCAACTTCCATGATGTTTGTGCTTGTTACATGGCTTTCATTACAGCTTACTCTCATTTCACTATAAACACTGATAAAACTAGTAACACAATTAACGCCACTAATAACTCGGAAACTATAAACTGTGCTACTATTACTATTGATCATATAACACCACTAATAGTAATAATATTTCTACAAATTTAACAATAATACCTAAACGAAAACTGCATCTACTGAAACTGAAATTTCTAAAACTGTTATTATTACAACCGCAAATTTTAACACTATTCATAGTAATACTGCTGTGAATAGTATTTTCACCTCAAATAAAACTACCACTACTCATGAAACTACCAACAATATAGACACCACTACTCTAAATTATTAAAAGCCTGATAGTAGTACTATGACGTATATTACCTACACACTTGAACCATTACTAGGATTTCTACTATTACCAAAAACAAAAATACTACATCTGTTATAAACGAAGACGTGGTTAGAATAACACAATTTATTATATTACTCAAGTACACATGAAAATTTCTCTACTATTTGACGTGTGAATATGCAACCCTTCAGATATGCAGAGAGCAGTCATTGTCATCAATTCAATATTTGCTATAACTGTAGTGGCATTGGACAATAGCCACACAATCCACAAAGCTGTGAACACGAGACTACTCAGAAAATAGATATTCAATATTTAACTCGGGGAAATACCTAACAATGGAGAAGGCGCGGAGAATGAATTGAATGGATTGGAGTTGATCGAGTGGCATGGCTTGGCCATGCAGGCGTGGTCTCTATTCATATTAAATATATTGTTCTTTCTCTAACCTAACCTCGTTCTTCATCATGTATTGGTAATTGATACGATACAGTAAGTTGGCGTAGTCGATGGTGTGACTTCCACGTAAGATCTTATAGATTAGGCAGTTATATCATGACAAATCTACAATTTCAGGATTAGGTCTATTATTAGAGCAGTACTAATATCGTAGTAGACCATAATTCTACATAACCACTATAGTAAACACATTTCATTTCCAAAGTATAATGAATCAGATGATGTTCTGAAATGGATGCAGAAATTAAGGGCGTCGCTGTTTTGAAATTCCCGTTTCACACGGTAGAAAGTGTCCAACGCTTTGTGATGAGCAAAACAGACCAGTGTGCGTAGTCATTTGAATTTATTCGAAATTATCAAGTCAGCCATGATAACGAAACCTATCGCTGACGATAAGTATTTTATGCCACAATTAAACAACGTTGAGTCATGAAGGCTTCGCTTCTGCGAATTCAGTGATATTTTCATACAGGTAGGTAACCCTCCTTCTATTGATAGCGGAAATCAAACTAGTAGTGGATAGGTCCACATTTGGCTCGTGAGAAAACAAGCAGTGAGGTGTGAATTCATATGATTAAACACAAAAAGCTTTTCAACACTCAATATAAGATCGTAGGAGGTATAATGAGTAAGCAAAATTAGGAAGTTAATTAAAATCTTAGCTCCATTGTTTTGACATAGACATAGTCGCTTGAGGTCAGCTCATGAATAATCGGCGTGAATTGTTACATTTCCTTCCTTATGGAATCGACGTCCGTAGGTACGTTGATTCGGTCACTTCTGTTTCTACAGCATAAAAGAGAAATACTAACTTGTTCAGTACCTGGCATTTAATTAATTACGACGAATCACGTAAATATTAAACGATATATCATAGATGCCATTTTCTTCACCAGCATGTTTTCATATCTCGTAGTATTCGATTTCTCTAACAATTATTCGAACATGTTTCCATACTTAACAGTGTTACAAAATACAATACTAGTAGACGTCTCTCGTGTGGTGACGATATTCCAACAACACTAGAGATGCACTGCTAGTCACAGTGTGTTTATGGCGTATCAAAAAATATAATAACTGAGTAATAGCATTAAAGTTATTACTTAGTTGAATATTTTATGTAATCATCGCATCTGTTAGAACTCTACTTATCTTCTATGCTAGTTAAACGCACTTAAAGCTCTTGCAGAGTTACTGCCGGTCAAAAGCCCGGATAAAGGAAGAAGATTGAGCATGGTGTTTGCTACTCCATTTTGTAGAAACCTAACTCGCCAAACGAACGTCAAACAGAAAAAAGTTAACTCAAACCATTTAGGCTCTGCCCTGGGAATTAGATGTGAAATTAGGATGTGAATCTCACAGATCCAGAAACAACAAAGAACCATCCGAAACAAAGAATAAGGGAATGACAGTGAATATTTTCCAATGTTATGCACCCATAAATGATAGCAATGACGACGATAAAGATCATAGTGAAGTGCCCCTGGAAGCATTTCACCATTCTGACAAGAGATCTCAGAGCCAAATTCGAATCGACAACATCAGGTATGAAGAAATCATGGGGAGAAATGGACTGTGAGAAAAAAACGGAAATGGGAAGGATTCGCAAATCTATGTGCATTTAACGAATTGGTATTATACAGTATACTACTCCTACACAAACGTATACATAAGGCTATATGTATCTCACCGGACTACACCACGTAGAACGAAATAGATCATATCTGCATGAATAAAAAATTTTAAAGAACAATGGAAAACGTGAGAACCTGAGGAATATTTGATATAGCTTCAGATCATCACCTGATGATGGTCAAGATGAAACTGGGGCTGAAGAAACACTAGAAAACTGGGGAAACAGCATTACAATG